GAGAGAGAGAGAGAGAGAGAGAGAGGAGAAAAGAGATTTTAATATTATTGAATATTGTTAAACGTTTTGCTCTCACATCACAATAATTATTTAGTATTTCAGTAATGCTCGATTCCTTAATATTCATTTACTTATACCCAACAACTATCAGATATCTTAAAAGATATTATCCATTTGACAATGAAAGCGGTAATTTTTAAAAAGATTAATGACTCTAAATTGTATATATTATAGAGAATTTTCATTTCTTCACATTTTCTAGCTGTCGAAAATTTTTTCTATATTTATTAACACGATTATCTTTTTTTCATTTTTTCTTTAATTTTTTTTATATTTATAACACGAGCATTATCAACACTTGAACCTTATTGGTTCAACTTACTTTATTATTATTATTATTTGGTTCAACTTACTTTATTATTATTATTATTTTCACTATCTTCCTGATATTTCAGGGATTTTTTATAAGCAAAATTAAATTCAACAGTTCTCTTATAAACAAAATAGATTTAATGAGGGAAAAAATCCATTTTTCAATCATTATTTGATCGTTTCTTTAACGTTTTAACGTTATCATGATTTTTTGTTCTGCATGGGCAAAAACTATGTCAAAATATGACTTCTTTATATGCTACTTGTAGAATAAAATGATACGTTCTCCTTTATCGAATGATATTTTTAGAGCACTATATCACATTAAATTACGACGCGTAATTTCTATAGTATTTAAAGATTTTACGACACACTCACTTATCGTTTTGTCAAAAGATACATTTAAATTGAAAACTTGGCGTGTCCGATTATTTGAATGTCTCTTCGGCGTGTCAATCTGTCACGCGCTACAAGATCACGTTTGTTAGAAGTATTGTAAAACAACTGATATTGCGCATGACAATTCATTTCTAAAAATTCGACCATATACGTCGTAAATTCGCGTCGTTTCGAACATTCGATGGAATCGCGACTTTGAATGCCATGGTAAAATCCCGGAATCGTTGATACATAGCATATGTACGATCGCGATGAATGGAGGGGG